GCAATAGATCGATCTCATTAGAAACAAGAGTTGCTTCGCATATAAAACCAGACAGAATAAAAATAAAGTGAATGATACAAATAAGATTGCTTAATCGCATTATTAAAAAATGATTCTTAAAAAAAACATCTAAAAAGTAAGAAATAATAAAAAATGAATGTATAAATGAATTGTAACTTTTCAAATATTTTTTTTTATTTAAGAATTTGTAAATAAGCAAATATGTATGGAGAATTAATTGTTTTGAAATGAATTTGAAATACTCTAAATATTTTTAGAAGCATATGGAAATTAGGGTTTATGGCTGTTTGATATTTTTTCAAATATCAAATTTTTTTTTGTACCAATTTTTTTTAAATAGAAACATTTAAAAACTTAAAAAATTTATTGGCCAAATTTCATGAGGATCCACCTATATTTTTTCAAACCAACGATCGCTCAAAGATATTTCGGCAAATAGGAAGACATACATCATCAATAAATTGCATAAATCGCAGCTGAATTTCATATATGGGCAATTTCGTGTCAAGTGATCAAAAAATATATTTGGATGAAATTTGCACCAAAGTTAGTACCATATATATAAATCATTATGCGAAATTTTATCCGGTTCGGTCCATAATTGGTCACGTCTCCCATATAAGGATCATTTCCGAAAATTACTTGAATATACAATTTCCTTAACAATCAAAGTTATGGGAAAAATTCTAATTCTAAATTAGTATACGGAATTATTCCTAGCTTCCATTTAGGAATTATTAAATGACTACATCTGGATAAAATTCGACATGAGCATGTTCTGTGTATGGATAAATCATTCTGCTAAAATGTTTTCCAATTAGCAAATTGTCTGTTTCGAATAACAGTTAAACGAATATAATTCCGAATATCGACATCGGAGTAAAACTCATTATTCTATATTTTTTTCTATCGGCATTATATTAAGTGATTTTCGGATACGGGTGCTATAACCTATTATGGGCTGATCATAATAGGTTATAGCACCCATATCCAAAAATCACTTAATATATTTTTTTTCGACCTAATCAAAATAATTTCCATTTATTCATAAAGAAATTATTAATTTCTCCATGTTCCCTAACTTCCTCTTTACGCAGAAAAAACTTTCAGCATAAATATTATGAACTGCTTTCATTGACTAAATTTAATAATATTTAAGAATAAGTTCCTAATTTTTATGAATTTTTTCATTTTTATATTTTTAAACATAATCTAGAAGCCTTGACTTAAATTATTAAAAATTTTCTTTATATTTTTCTATTTGTTAAAAAATCTTTGAAATTTTCTTTGGAAAATTTTTCTATTTCTTTATGATTTTTAGATTGAAAACATGCGTGTAACTTAATTTAACAAAATTTTCTGAAGAATGAATGTTTATTATTGAATGTTTTTTATTTCATATTTAGTTTTCCAATATTTTTATTTATATATCATAAAAATTCGATAATATGTGATTATTTTCTTAAAGAAGATATTAATAGGTAACGGATATTTTTTGCAATTTTTTTTATGAAAATCAAAGAAAATGAGTAAAAAACAAAAAAATCTTTCATGTACAAATTCATGCATTTTATGAACTTTTAATATTCGGAATGAAAATGGTTTAGGAAAGAAGTCATGCTCGATTCACACAATTTATTACAAAATTCATTCCAGATATGAATTATTTCTTTCTGTGTATGATTCCTCACTACGGAAACAAAACTTATGCCGAGTTATCTAAAAATTATGTCAATTAATATCGTATATATCCCCTTTTGAAAATATATATAAAAAATTGCATGCAACTTTTAAATACTATTTCTCATTTCTAATTTTATTTTCCTGTACTTATAATCGATGCGTTATAAAACGTTGTCTATATTAGTGTTGTACATTATCTCAGCTTTACGGAAAAGTAATTGTTTTCATCAAAAATCCAAACTTTGCAAAAACCATTTTCGATACGGAAACCAATCAAATTTTCCATTTTATGATGGGTCGGCTTTGCTAAGATATCTAGAATTGTTCGTAGAATTTCCTATAAGTAATTTGGTAGCCCCTATATCAAGTTTTGGCCTAGGGCCTCCGATACTTTGCAATCCAAACTACTATTTCAGGACTGGTTATGATATCACTGAATCATTCGAATTTCAGCCTATAATAATGACAAATGGGTGGTTTATCATCCTTTCTCTGTCATCCATATCCAGGTTCGAACCTAATCTAGCCAGTTCGTCCGCACATTACGGTGCCCCGGCATAATGTCTCTGAGGACATTTCTACAATCTACAACCAGGCGCGTATGTACTGTGTAACAAACCAATGCTCTGAGAGCAGCTTGATTATCAACATAAATTGTCACAACTGACCCCCGATCGATATCGTAACAGCCACGTCGCTTTCCAGATAGCTATGATCTCTGCTTGGAAGACACTACATTCGTTAGGGAGTCTGAAGGACCGTTTTATATAGACACCAGCACCCGTGCCGGTCTTCATCTAGGAGCTATCAGTGAAAACTGCACACCCACCAAAAAGTCTATTGGATACAAGCCAATCATCCCTAGTTGAAAATTATATCAGAGGTGTTTCGCCGAAGTCTAGAGTCGTAATATCATAATCCGTAATTCCGTAAGGGGAATTATCCTGATCAAATAGACCTACTTAGTACAGAATTTTTGTATGGTCATCAATGTTCTATTGGTGAAAGGTATAAAATGATGTCCAAGGCCGCCTGTGGAGTACTTCTAATGGCACCAGTAATGCCAATAGAGGCACACCTTTGAGCTTTATTGATCATTTTCTATACTTGTGCTTTTCAAGGCCTCCCACTAGACAATGCAACCATAAGTTAGAATAGGCCTGACAACCGATGTGTAAATCCAATTTACCATATCTGGTTGCAGATCACAATTCCTCCCTATAGAATTCTTACATTTGTAGTAGGCATTGAGTCCCTTTTTCATTCTTTCCTGAGTATTTTTCTCCCATAACAGCTTCCTGCTATAACAGCTGCTCCTCTAGATAAAATTGATTCGACGAGAGTTCCATGATGTCACTGACCGTGGATAGAAATTTTCTTGGCCAGTAGCACCACGAATAGAAGAAAAGACCCCTGTGGTGTCCCCCTGGTAACCCTTCTCCTAATGCAAAGATCCCCTATGTTCGAGTTAATTATTTTACTGCTAAGGATACACACTAACCACTTCACCAGGAAGTCCTGAAATCCGAGCTCTATAAGCGAATCCCTAATCGCCTCAATCTTTATATTATTAAAAACTCCCTCAATATCCAAAAACGCAGCAAAATTATAGTCCCTATTCTTCAAGCCGTGCTCAACACAACTTACCACCTCATGCAGTGCACTTTTAATAGATTTACAGTTGATGTAGGCATGCTGAGCGCCACTGATGATGTTAGTATCCATATTATACCGATCAGTCTCCCAAGCAGCGTTGCCACTGACCAAATTTTAATCCTACCATTTTTTTGTCCAAAAACTACCAAAATCGTTTAAAACCAACCTACCAAATTTGAAAAATCATATAAAACTTTTTTTTGAGAAAAGTATGATTTATTCATCCTGAAATGCAAAAGGGTGTTTTAACACTATTCAAAGTTTTATGATACATTTATTTTTTGAGAGCCTTTTTTAATTTGTTTATGGAAACGTTATCCAGACCCAATACAAATCGGAAAACTCCTGGAAAATCATTTGAATGTTCAGAAATACGTTGGTTATGTAACAATTGTAAACAAATTTAACCTGACTCAGTTTTAAGTACTCAATAATCATAATATGAAGAGCGACAATATAGGGGTCCGAAATACCCCAAAATAATTTAAATATATACATATGAAATACTAATATATATACCTACATATACTTAGATACAAGTAGTCATAAACCATTTTTGTGTTTCAGAATTTCAGACAACATTTTTCTCTAGCCCCACATAAAGTGGCTTTTAAAAGATTACGATGAAAAAATTACGTGCCATAATGTTCATGGACGTTATGACACATCAAAAAGTGTCATAGTATCCATTGACGTTATGGCAATCCTTAAAAGTATCATAATGTCCATGGACATTGTTCAAAATTTGGGAAAGGGCCACTCATACCCCAAAAAGAATTGCTCCTAAATTTGACGTATGTTGCGTTTTGGATTCCTTTAAAAAAATGTCCTGGATAGAAGGCCTTCGGCCGGGCGCAGTAATGACCCATGAGTCATTACTCCTTTCGATATACCCAATGGCCCTGTGGTCCTTGGATAGTATCTGTCGGAATCTTCATAGCTCCTTGACATTGTCAATGGATTCACAGTACTGGGACCATGAAATCCTTTTTGCTCTTTTGAGATCAGCTTTATACTTGTTGAAACACATTTTATAGTTATTATAGTCATTTGCTTGACCTGTGAGCTTAGACCTACTGAACAGTTTCCTAACAGTCGAGCTTTGAATTTTAAGTTCCTTAGCCCACCACTTAGGTTGTTCTCTTTTGCCTGGAAATGTGACTGGACAAGACAGCTTGTAGCTTTACATAAGTAGATCTGTGACTTATTCATAACCCCATCTAAATCAGTTGGCAACAAATTGCATAAAGACTGTTGTGCAAACCCTGACTTAACCCTTTCATTAATAATTTAGCCATTTTTTGTTCTCTCACACTGATCGTCAGGTACACAAAATCTTCAGGGGGAAATTTTTATAACTCAAACAAATTTTAACCTATTTTTGTCTTGTTTATCTTTTTGGAAAGGCTATTTTGTAAGGGTTTTGTAATTTATATTTAATGCCTAATTTTTTGAAAAACAATTTCTTTTTTGACATATAAACGCATATCTAAACTTTGGCAGCCATGCTCTTATCCGAGTAAAAAGATTTGTATTTAATTATTATTTATTTTGATTACATTTTTGTAGAAGAAAAAAAATTGCTATAATTTCAGAAATTATCTCCTAAAATTAAGTAGCGCATTTAGAGATTATTAAGGGCATATAAACACAAAACACATTTATCAATATTTTGTATAAAAGTTGGTCAAAATCTAAAACTGATATCATTCACTTCTTGTGTTTACTTCTAAAAAGAACCAACCTCCAACCAAAATTTATTGTAACAATATGGCTTTCAAAGTAAGTAGTTCGTTTTTTTGTTTTTGCTTCGGCTGCTGATAAAGTTGACATGTGCTAACTTAACTCAAACCATTACAAGCAAATTTAAATAATCTGGCAGAAACCTTAACATTGAAATTGTTATTATTTCAAATTTGTTATTTACAGTTTGTTTTCACACTTGCTTTTGTTGCTGTGGCTAGCGCTGGTTATGTTCCAGCCGCTCAAGTTTATCATGCTGCTCCCGTTGCTGTACATGCTGCTCCTGTAGCTGTTGCACAAAAAGTTGTTGTGAAATCTGAAGAATACGATCCTCATCCACAATATAAATATTCTTACGGTGTTGAAGACAAATTGACCGGTGATTCCAAGAGCCAAGTTGAAGAACGTGATGGTGATGTAGTACGTGGTGAATATTCCTTGATTGATGCTGATGGTTACAAACGTACCGTACAATACACAGCTGATGATCATAATGGTTTTAATGCTGTCGTACACCGTGAACCACATGCTGCTCCTACTGTTGTTAAAACTGTTGCTAAAGTAGCTCATTATGCAGCTCCCACTTTTGTCAAAACTGTTGCACCAGTAGCCCATTATTCTGCTCCCACTCACTACGCCGCACCAACCGTTGTTAAAACTGTTGCACCTGTAGCTCATTACGCAACTCCTGTACAGTATACCTCATATGCTGCTCCTTCTTACAACTATCACCACTAAACTCATTCAAAATAATTGATTCTTTCACACTGTTTTTATTTATTTAGTTTGTATACTCATCAAAATAAACCATTTTTTAAATATTAACAAAATATAGTTTTGGACTTTTTTCTATCTGAAACCTGGAACAATCAGTAAAATAATTTTTTTTATTTCCGACATTTCAACCAGCAATGTAGTACAGGTAGTAGAAAAATTTTCAGTTAATAATTTCTAAATGCTAATACATACAGTGGACGTCCACTAGTACGAATTATATAGTGTCAGGCCCTTTCGTAATACCGAAAAATTCGTATTATTGAACAACACATTTTGTATGTTTAAATTCAAATAATACACATAAAATATTGGATTTTATTTATTTTTGTTTTATTTTTCATGAAAAATTACATAACGGAACAAAATATAATAAATGTGTATTATTTTAAATAAATTTCTTGTACATAAACAGGCATAAAAGGGACATATTTACGTATATGAATTGTTAATTTTGAAAGTATCGTGAGTCCAATGGTTGAAATGAGATATATGTAGAAGGTTTTAAATTTTTTATGTTTTTAAAAAGATGTGTGCCAAAGACAATTTGTAATTTACATATGTGTTCTAAAATGTATTAAAATGTTCAGATTACATAAAACTTTTATTAGAAACTTGAATGGAATATACCACAATTCTCTAATTTATAATTTTCTCTTAAAAATTAGAATAGTTATCCTTAAACCCATTGTTTGGAATGTGGAGTCACACTACTTTCAAAATTAACAGTTCATACATACATATGTATATAAATATCATTTTACTTATTAAAAAATCCATAATTTAACATCGAGGTTTATTACATTGTAAAATGATTCTTACGGCTTTTTCAATAACAGCGCTTTTGAGGCTTCAATATTGTTCTCAGCAGAGTTATTGTCGGGAACTAATAAAATACTTTCCTCATTGGCGTTATCATCCAATTTAATTTCTTCTCTTGGGTCATCAAAATTCCAATAAAATAAATTAATAACACTAAATAATTGTTGATTTGTAAATATACATGCAGTAAATTTTGTGTATAGGATTTTTAAAAATACAAAACACTTGTAATAAATACAAAAAAAAACTTCAAAATTACTGAGCTTAAGGTGAATGATACCGAAATAATAAAATAAAAACATAATAATAATAATAAAAACATTCATACGTAAATAAAACCAAAATTCCCATAAAAAATGCGTTATTCGTACTATCGAACAGAAAAATTGTGACTTTATTCGTACTATAGAGTAGACAATGCAACAATTTTGCCATTCGTATTATTGGATATTCGTAATAAAGAGTATACGTACTATTGGACGTCCACTGTATTACTAAAATTGTTCCATTATCTGTTCCCGTACTCATTTGGATTGTAGGTTTTTACAATAAGTTGTTTTCATACTAAAATTTCAATGTATTTAATGGTTTTTCTAATTCTGACTCAAACCTACAAAACTAACGGGTGGGGGAATATATATAGTTTCATACAAAAGACTTCCTGAAGCAAGACATTATAAATCATTATTGTGTACGCATGGACACTCTTATTACGACATATAAAGATATTCATATCCAGATAAAATTCAACACATATGTATATGTATACCTTGGACAATTAGCCCAGCAGTTCGGGGGACAGACCTGAACTAGCTTATCCAAAGGAGTCAATACATGGCAATGAAAATTTTCCCTTAAGTTTTTGTTTTTTAAATGTCTCCTCTCTAGATTACATGAGAACGATAAAGTGACAACAGTCGTCGGTCTCGCTTTCAAAAAAAGTTACGACTGTCCACTATAATTTATAAACACAGTACATTCGTGAGGAAAGGTGATTTAGAGTCAACCACGTGATTACGCGTTAGTCAACATGCTGCATTGACTCTTTTGTTGAACTACTCTGATTATCGGCAGCTGATTGATAATTGTGTTTTGAATATCTTAACTAATTATTAAAATGCATTTATTTTGTTTCAGTCGCCCTCACCATGACTTCTTAGTTTTTACTCACAGATATTGGTAAAACTAAATTATCTCGTTTAAAACTGATAATGTTTTTTTATACCCACCATCAAAAAAGAATGGGGGGTATATTGATTTTGTCATTCCGTTTGTAACACATCGAAATATTGGTCATAGACCCACAAAAGTATATACATTCTGGGTCCTCATTAAATTCTAAGACGATCTAGCCATGTCTGTCCGTTCGTCCGTCCGTCTTTCTGTCTGTCTGTTGAAAGCACGATAGAGTCCCAATGGAAAGAGCTAGAGGGTTGAAATTTCACATAAATATTTCTTATAGGTAAGGTTTGTTTGGTATTGAAAATGGCAATATCGGTCCACGTTTTCGGATAGCGCCCATACAAGTGGCCCCTCGAAAAGCAGCTTTAACAGCCATAACTTGTTTCAAAATACGAATATAGCGATGAAATTCGACATAAGTCAGTTTCATACAAGTCAAAATCTATCTAAAAAATTTTATGAGGATCAGTTCATGATTAACCCTACCCCCCATATAAGGTCCCCTTCAGAAAATGACTGCAACGCTCATTAATGGCTTAAAAATACGAGTGTAGCGATGAAATTCGACACAAATAAATTCAATACGAATTCTGTCTACCAAATTTTATGAGGATCGACCCATAATTGACCCTACCCCCCTATATAAGGTCCCCTTCAGAAAATTACTTTAACGCTTATAACTGGCCTAAAAAATATGAGTATATAGATGAAATTCGACATAAGTAAGTTTCATTCGAGTCAAACGAGGTTTGATGGTGGGTATATAAGACTCGGGATGGCCGAATATAACACTCTTACTTGTTCTTATTAATAAATACCCAACTTTTGTTGCTGCTTCAGTTTTAAATAATATCAAGTTATACCACATTTCTTAACTCACTGATACTGAAATAATCAAGCCTAAGATTTGAATTTATTAAAAATTATCAGAAGTATTAAGTTTTCTTGAATGTATACAATTTGAAACAACATAACACTAAAATAAGTTTTATATGAAATCTTGATGATCAGTTAAAATGTTTTTCGCTGAATTCAAATTTGAGCATTTTCCTATTTAGCACTGACCTTACGTCGGTTTAAAATTTACGAAAAACTGGGACTTTTAGGGCAATCCAGAAAGTCGATCAACAAATATACTAACGAAGTAAAAAAAAAAATAATTTACTAAGGGCCAATATTTCAACCTCCGGTTATCGTATAACCGGTAGGTATACTGCCGGTTAAAATAATTTTTGTATGAAAACTGTCAATTTACCGTTAGCATAAAAAATAAGCAGACATTGAGAAAATTATGGTAAAACTATTAAAATCCACAAAATATTAGATTAAATTTCAAAGATATTTTTGTTTATTATATACAAACTAAATAAATAAAAGCAATTTATTATGTTTTAAAAGAGTTTAATGGTGATAATTGTAAGAAGGAGCGGCATAAGAGGTGTATTGTACAGGAGCTGCATAATGAGCAACTGGGGCAACAGTTTTAACATATGTGGGTGCGGTGTAGTGAGCAACTGGAGCAACTGTTTTTACAACAGTTGGAGCAGAATAATGAGTTACTGGAGCAACTGTTTTGACAACAGTAGGAGCGGAATAATGAGCAACTGGAGCAACAGTTTTGACCACAGTTGGTGCAGCAAGTGGTTCACGATGTACGACAGCATTGAAGCCATTATGATCATCAGCTGTGTATTGTACAGTACGTTTGTAACCATCAGCATCAATCAAGGAATATTCACCACGCACTACATCACCATCACGTTCTTCAACTTGGCTTTTGGAATCACCGGTCAATTTGTCTTCAACACCATATGAGTATTTGTACTGTGGATGAGGATCGTATTCTTCAGATTTTACAACAACTTTTTGTGCAACAGCTACTGGAGCAGCATGTACAGCAACGGGAGAAGCATGATAAACTTGAGCGGCTGGAATATAACCAGCGCTAGCCACAGCAATAAAAGCAAGTGCGAAGACAAACTGTAAAGAGCAAATTGAAGTACAATACAATTTTAATGCTTAGGTTTTAGCCCAATTATGTATATATATATTTTTTTCTTCTTTTGTTGAGTTTACATTTAGTGTCAATTTAATCAGCAGCTGAAGCAAAAACAAAAAAAAAACTACTTACTTTGAAAGCCATATTGTTACAATAAATGTTGTTTGGAGGTTGATTCTTTTTAGAAGTGGACACAAGAAGTGAATGATGTTTGTTTTGAATTTTGACCAACTTTTATACAAAATATTGATTAATGTGTTTTTATGTAGACTTACTCTTAATAATTTAACAATCTCTAAATATGCTACTGGTATAGTTTAAAGAAACATTAATTAGTTAATAAGCATAACGTCGTAATGCTTATTAACTGATTAAAATTTCGCACGGAGTAGAAATAATATTATGATCGGTATTTTATCTCATATCTTCGCACAATTCCACTTTCCAGGAATAGTTTTTTACGTTATAAATATCAACTTAATTGGTTGGTTTTCTAACTATCCTGGAGAACTTTCATATAGGTAAATAAAATGGGTAATAGGTGAATAATTCTGTTATATAATTCGTTTCGTGGTCTAATGTATTAAATATTTGTATATCCTACATCACTATAGTATTATGGGTATGCGTTATACTATAGGGTTAAGAATATTTTTCGAGTCGAATAAGCCAATTGAACTTGTATAAAATTGTTATTTTACCACCATACAACCGTACTATAGTATATATACTAAAATAGACACAACTATGTTTTATATAAGCAATTGGACCTCATTTGTCCCTAAACTCCATACAACGTCCCTATCAGACTGTTTAATGAACGACCATAATTCCCTATAAACAGTCATATCACAATGAAATTCGCAAAAATAAATCGAAAGTAAACAAGTAAGAGTGTTATATTCGGCCATGCCGAATCTTATATACCCACCATCAAACCTCGTTTGACTCGAATGAAACTTACTTATGTCGAATTTCATCTATATACTCGTATTTTTTAGGCCAGTTATAAGCGTTAAAGTAATTTTCTGAAGAGGACCTTATATAGGGGGGTAGGGTCAATTATGGGTCGATCCTCATAAAATTTGGTAGACAGAATTTGGTTCGTATTAAATTTATTTGTGTCGAATTTCATCGCTACACTCGTATTTTTAAGCCATTAATGAGCGTTGCAGTCATTTTCTGAAGGGGACCTTATATGGGGGTAGGGTCAATCATGGACCGATCCTCATAAAATTGTTTAGATAGATTTTGACTTGTATGAAACTGACTTATGTCGAATTTCATCGCTATATTCGTATTTTGAAACAAGTTATGGCTGTTAAAGCTGCTTTTCGAGGGGCCACTTGTATGGGGGCTATCCGAAAACGTGGACCAATATTGCCCATTTTCAATACCAAACAAACCTTACCGATAAGAAATATTTATGTGAAATTTCAACCCTCTAGCTCTTTCCATTGGGACTCTATCGTGCTTTCAACAGACAGAAAGACGGACGGACGAACGGACAGACATGGCTAGATCGTCTTAGAATTTAATGAGGACCCAGAATATATATACTTTTGTGGGTCTATGATCAATATTTCGATGTGTTACAAACGGAATGACAAAATCAATATACCCCCATCTTTTTTGATGGTGGGTATAAAAAGAAATATTGGACCATATCAGTTTTTCATCAATATGTTGCTTAAATAATCTTTTTAAATTTTAAAATAAGGGACACACACAAAACAATTTGCATTAGGCGTTGCTCGTTATACCTGTACTTTACTGTATGTGCAAAAAATGTGTGTATCGAATTATTACACTTTAATTGAAAAACAATCACAATTACTCAATAATAGAAAATAAAAATAACTTGTGCAAATTTACCTTCAAAACAAATCCTGTTTATAATTTAAATATTGGGCCACAATTCTGTTTATGAATGAAATAAACAATTAGTCAATGAAATAACCAATTAGTAAACACAAATATTCGTAGAAGAAAATATGAAATTACGGATATGTGTAATAACTATGTATTAAACAATTTTGTATATAAACTGATTAACTAATTGAATTTGTATCATTCACATCTTGTGTCCACTTCTGAAAAGAACCAACAAGAGCAATCAACCAGATTATTTTAATAAACATGGCTTTTAAAGTAAGTTGTGGGTTTTGTTATCGCTAACGTCACAACGCTAAATGTGCTCAGTCATTCGCTCACTCACATTTTAATTAATTGAACTAAAACATTGACATTGAATTAAAATGTTTTTCTTCTACTATTTGCAGTTTGTTTTCGCACTTGCCTTCGTAGCTGTTGCCAGCGCCGGATATGTTCCAGCTGCTCAAGTTTATCATGCTGCTCCAGTTTCTGTACATTCTGCTCCTGTAGCTGTTGCGCAAAAGGTTGTTGTTAAATCTGAAGAATACGATCCCCATCCACAATACAAATACTCTTATGGTGTTGAAGACAAATTGACTGGTGATTCCAAGAGCCAAGTTGAAGAACGTGATGGTGATGTAGTGCGTGGTGAATATTCCTTGATTGATGCTGATGGTTACAAACGTACCGTACAATACACCGCTGATGATCATAATGGTTTCAATGCTGTCGTAAGTCGTGAACCTTTAGTTAAGGCTGTCCCCACTGTTGTTAAATCCATTGCTCCAGTAGCTCATTATGCTGCTCCCACTATTGTAAAGACCGTTGCTCCAGTTGCTCACTACTCAGCACCAACTGTTGTTAAAACTGTTGCTCCAGTAGCTCATTATGCTGCTCCAGAGCATTACACATCTTATGTAGCTCCCACTTATGTTAAATCTGCTGAGGTAGCTCATTATGATGCTCCTTCACATTACACCTCATATTCCGCACCTTCCTACAACTATCATCATTAAATAATAATGAACATCATCATCGATACATCTGCATTGTTTTTATTATTTATTTATTTTGTATTTTTCGTTAAAACCGTCTCATTTATAAAGTAAATAAAGTTTTTTTTATTAAATACATACGGCTGTATTTATAAAAACTTATTTTAGGTTTATTAAACAATTTTAGGCAAAATTCAGGAAAATCGTATTTATAAACGTGAAATAGCTTAAAACACCTTCAATAAACCAATGACAATTAGAAGAATTTTATTGTAGGCTCGACCCTTCTTTAAGCCAACAATAACTTGATTTTTAACAATTTTTTTCTCAGATAAAGATTTTTCCGGTAATTTTAGGTTGATTGCGAAAAGTAATTATGGTTTCTTTTAAAATAAAATCTAAAAATTCTAATTTTAACGTTTACAAATTTGTAAATAAAATCCCAGAAAATTTTTAAACGATTATATTTTGAGGAAAAAACTCAAATCTAGGCATTATTGGATTGATGCATGAATATTTGACAATATTCCAATTGTCCAGCACTATTTTTAGGCAATTTGGAAATGCCCGTCTGTCAACCAAATGATGGACAAAATCATTTGATTTGGCTTTTTCAAAGTTTGTTGGTTAAATATAATGCCATAAAGTAATTAACCATGTAAATTATATTGATTAGTGTTATACTAATGCAAAATATATTCGCCGGCATTAAAATTAGTCAAATATCAGAGAAATGTATCAATATTTGCAAAAATTTATGAAAAATTACAAGGAAAATAAGTAAAAATAATAAAATGTGTCATAGTGATGTATATTTTGTCGCAAAATATCCGTTATTCGGATACTTTTAATAATAATTAGAAATTATATGTTATATTTATACATCTGAACTAAATAGACATTTATTAAAGCCATATATATATTTATTTTTCTTAAAAGTTTGTTTTTATTGTCAAAAATCTATTATAAACAAAAATATGAAATTAAGAAAACAGAATCAACGAATATTTTATCCTAATTGTACGCAACACTAACACATAAAATGACAGCCATATTGTACAGTGCTGCCAACTTAAACATAAATCAGCACAATAGTTAATATACGTTTATTATTTGTTTATGAATATCACAATTTTATTAATGGTTTTTAAGGCTAAAGTGTGCTTTAACTATCGAGTGCATTAAAAGCAAAATAAGATTTTTTATAAATACAAGCGATAATTTTTAATTTTTTTTTCTATTTGTGTAAACAATGAAATGTAACTGAAACTAAAATACCCGATTCTTTTCCAAAACATATTAATCTGGTCCACTGTGCACTACTAATATAAACAAAAACTTATTTATACCCTACACCACTTTAGTGGGGAGGGCATATTGGGTTTGTGCTGATGTTTGTAACGCACAGTAATATTGGTCCTATACCCTTAACCTTAAAGTATACCAATCGGCTTAGAATCATTTTCTGAGTCGATTTAGCTATGTCCGTCCGTATGCCCGTCCGTCCATGTAAACCTTGTAAACAAAGCTACAGGTCGCAATTTTGAAGATAATTCAATGAAATTTGGCACATGATCTTCTATTGTATCGCAAACAAAGCCTATTAAAATGGTTAACATCGGTTCATTTTCTCACCTAGCCACCATACAACTGAAACCCCGAATAGAGCTTGTAAACCTTGTAATTCAACTACAGGTCGCAATTTTGAAGATAATTCAATGAAATTTAGCAGATGATCTTCTATGGTACCGGAGACAAATCCTATTGAAAATAGTCAACATCGGTTCATTATTTCACCTAACCCCCATAAAACTGAACCCGACGAATAGGAATTTTAAGTTCATAATTATGTTTTATATACTCGTATCTCGACAAAAAGCTGCAAAACTATGTTCTATACTTGCCTTGATGACTCTCATGAATTTTATAATTATAGGGTCTCATTTGACCATAGCCCCTATTCAAATCCCCCTTCAAAATTTGACTTAAATGTCCACAATTTTATTCAACAATAAATGGCTTAAGTATAATTAAAGGCAAGGTACAATTCAACTTAAATGCTTTACTATGATTGGAGCAATGTGGTCATATATCGATATTAATATATACATCAAGGGGATTTTCCGAAGATAACTTTTCTAGGAATTGAATCTATTATTATTAAGATATAAAGTTCTAATAAGAAATAGGTTAATGTGATTTTCTGTTGGAGGGTTTATATAGGGGGTTGGTCCTTATCAAATTTGGTAAAGAGGTTTTGATTGATGAAAAAAACTTTCTTATGACAATTTGCATCACTATACATGTATTTTTAAGCAAATTATAAACGTTAGACTTATTATTTAA